ACTATCCCCCTTCTTCCCCCTTGCATCTACAGCATCTTGACACACCCTTCACGCTCTACATGCTTGCCCCTATGTTTTGCATGCTAGGAGTGTAATGTGGATCCCCTTCGTACTTTTCAACAGCCCACTTCTGGTGTTCATAGATATGTGATTGCCAGTACACTCTTGCCACACATGTCATTTTTGCACGCTTAGAGTTTCAGGTGCAAAAATGACATGCCTGCCACTACATGTCCAGCAGACATGTCTGCCTGCAGCTTCATTGTTGTTTGCCAGACGTCTCCACTTCCCCACTGCTATCTATCCTGAGAACAAGTCATCTATTGGGCCATGCAGGGCAGTAGTTAAGAAGATCACGATGAAAGTGACCTCTTTTTTTTTGCTATCATTTTTTGTTTCATTCCTTTATACTAAGTTTATACTATATAGTATATATTTTTCAAAAAAAAAGTTAGTTGACAAACCAATATAGAACCAGCATCCAGGCAATGCCATCAACATCCAAAACACAGAGACTTCAGAGAGAGCAAAGTGAATATTCAGTTAGCTGACCAGGGCAAGCATTTGCCTTGTGGAGCTGGGCCTGAGTTGAACTGTACGTGCCCAAAAGGAGAAGACAGCAGCAAGATAAGCAATAGCATAACATTGTCAGGTATGGATAGGTGTGTTTTTATTACAGAGATTTTCAGCTGAGCACACACAGGTCATCTTGTGGGCTGAGTGGGGAAGCATGTTGGAAAGACTGCCACCAACCACTGCATATGAAGATGACTGGAGTGAGCCCGTTTCTTGCAGGGTTGAATCATACAATCACAGCTCCACACATATCGAGACAACAACCAGTGCACCAACAGCAGGCAGTGGTCAAGGGTAGAGAAGGCTAGTTCTTTTTTGCAAAGATTTCTGATCCAACATTATCAATTTATCGTCTTGAACAGCTCATCTTGCGAGTGGCATGGGCATGTAACAAGTGGCACAAACCAATATAAATCCAATAGAAGTGAACCGTCAACAGGCACAGCACCATGTGAACAAAGCAAACGTCCGATTGGGTGACTGGAGTGAGCTTTTCTCCCTCCTGAGATGGATCATCCAAGCACACCTTCACAAAGGCAAGACAACAACAAGATTAGGAGTGGGCCATGGTCAGGAATTGAGACCATGGTCAGGAATTGAGAAGCGTGGTTTGTTCCACGTTTGTCTGAGTTGACATAATTATATTGAACATGTAGCCTTAGGGTATGCATAGTGTTACGATCCTGGCCAATTTCGACGTATACATTCATCCGAAAGTACAATGCCATCCAATTGCAAAAAGAAATGAATGAACTTGAGAGGTAAGAGAGGGAAAGAAGAAGAAGAAGAAGTGAGAAAGAAGAAGATGATGATGTACTCCAGCATAGACCAATGTCAAGGCTCTTCTTCTTCGCCAACCAATCCCTTCCTCCTTATCTCCTCCCCTCTTATTCAAACAAGAAATAACAATAATAATGTTGAATGACTGAACCAGAATCAATGTCCAAATCCCACTTCTACTGCAGGCATAACATGAGGTGCACCGTAGCCATGGCAACCCTTCCTCTTTCTCTACATACAGGCCGAGGCTATGGYGGACTACTGAGGCTTCAGCCTCCTGTCCAAAGGACAAACCAAAGCAGCTATGCCGCTGCCCCACTTCAAGGTCATCACCATGCAGCTATGCCGCTGCCCACTCAGCCACCATGCCTGACTCTGTCCCGAGCTTCCTTGATGCGGCACTACCCCCACTGGGGCCTTCCTGATGCAGCGCCTAGCAAGGAGATGAAGATGGTGTCTACCATAGCCAGTCAGTGCCTCGCCACTCTCCTCCTTGGTCCCCTTCTCCCTCCTCCTCCTACCGGTAGAGCTCCACCATAGCCAAGGTGGAAGCTCCCGGCTTCTTCCTCCCAGCAGCGCTGTAGTACCCAGCGCCACTCCAGCCAGCGCTCCGGCAGCGTGTCGCCAAACTTGCACACTGAAGAATGAGGCTGGGCTCTCCGCCCGGCCTCTTGATATAGCGGCCTACTTGCCTCCTGGGCGGTGACTTCCAGGCCGCTYGGCCTCCCCAAGCAACCGGTACTTCCTCCGTTTCGGAGGGAAACATCATTGCAGACCCTGATATTGCCCGTACAGGCTCTAGACTCAGACTGGTTGGACTGGTACCGGCCTAGACCTACCCTACCGCTACTGGACTCTAAAAATGCCAACTTTGTCTTCTTCTGCTCGGCCTCCAGTACCTCCTCACGCCAACTGCAGTGGGGTGCAGTATCGGCCTACCTGCCCACTTGAGTGTTTTTCCGCTACCCCAAGGGCCGCGGGGCCGCTAGCTTCGCCACTTGAGTGTTCCCCTTGCTGCAACCCTCAACGCCACGGCCACAGGTAAGTACCGGCCCTATGGGCCTGCCAAACGAGCAAGTACCCTTCCGGGTCACACACACACTCAGGCAGATAAGCACTCAGACAGGCACGCACGCACACAGACTTAGAAAACACAGCAGAATGCGGGAATCTCAGCAAGGCATCCATTCCATCAGCAGAGCTTCAGAAATCAGCAGTGTTCTCAGTCTGTGTTATGACGGGTCATTACGATAGAGAAGTAGTCTTCAAAAGATTCTCACAGACCCACAGAGTCCCAGCATCGCGATCAACAGATGAAGTGTTGACGATAGCAAAGCAGGCATCCAGTGGGCATATAATAGCACCTCCATGGATAAGGGCAAGACAACAACAGGTTCAGTAACTGCTGACAGAGGTAAGGGCAAAGAAATGTGGCTTGCTCGCAATAGTCAGTGAGCCTGAGTGGGGACCACATAAACTTCGACAATGATTCAGAAATGCCCGTATTCGCGCACTGTTACGATCCTGGTCATTTCCCAAGTGCAAATTCACAATGAAAGACAATGCCACCCAATTGAAAGCACTTGCAAAGAGATAAAGACCAGAGGAGAGGTGAAGAAGAAGAAGAAGAAGAAGAAGAAGTACACCAGCAAGCCCAATGACAATTCCCCCTTCTCTCTCCACCTTCCTCCTTCCTCCTTCTCTTCACCAATCTTATTCTTCTCTCAATAATAATAATAACAATGAATGGATGAACCAGAATCAATGTCCGAAGTTCCCCCTTACTGCTGACTCAACTCACAACAACAACAACAACAACAACAAGTCCACCATGGCTATGTCTTCCCTCCTTCAACCTCTTCTCTCACGCATAGGCCATGGGGGACTACTGGAAGGCAGCTATGATGCTGCCCTGATGCCCGAAAGACAACTCAAAGCAGCTATGTCGCTGCTTGACTTGGTCCGCTATGCCTGACTCTGCCTCGAGCTGCCCTGGTGCAGCGTTACCCCAACTGGGGCCTTCCAGATGCAGCGCCCAACAAGGTGATGAAGACGGTGTCCACCATAGCCAGGTAAGTGCCCTACCACTCTCCTACCATGTCCCCCTTCTTCCTCCTTCRAGCTGGGGTGCTCGCCATAGCCAGGCTGAGCCCCAGCAGACCTTCACCTCCAAGCAGCGCTGCTTCAGTCCAGCGCTGCGCTCCAGCAACATGTCGCCAATCCTTGCATACCGCAAATGAGGAAGAGCCTTCCGCTCTTCCTGAAGATATAGTGGCCTACCGGCCTCCTGAGCGGTGACTTTCCAGGCCAAGCGGCCTCCCAGGCAACCGGTACCTCCTCCCTTTTGGAGGGAAACATCATTGCAGGCTCTGTTATTGTCCGCACAGGCCCTAGACCCGGGCTACTTGGACTGGTACCGGCCTACCCCCAACCTACCGCTACTGGACCTCTAAAAATGCAACTTTTTGTCTTCTTCTGCTCGGCCTACCTGCTACTTGAGTGTTTTCCCCAGCTGCTCTAAGTGTCGTGGGCCTATCTCGCGCTACCGGCGTGTTTTCCCCCCCTGCAACCCTCCAGAGTCACGGCCACAGGTAAGTACCGGCCCGGTGGGCCTTGCAACCAACAAGTACCCTTGCGGGTCAAACACACACATACCCCACCGGCAAGCACTCAGACGGGCATGCACGTACACACACACAACCAGCGAGCATTCAGACAGGCAGGCACGCACACACACAGACTTGGGACCACAGCAGAATGCGGGAATCACAACAAGGCATCCATTCCAGTGACAAATCCCAGAAATCGGCAGTGATCTCAGTCTGTGTTTTTGGCGGGTCATTACATTACTCCCCTCTCGAGAGCGAGGTCCCTTCGAGCGAGTAACTCAGTCAGAGTCGGTACAAAAGGCGTCGTGGGCACAGATCAAAAGGAGAGTGTTAGTGAGACCGAACGGAGTGAGTTTTGCAGCAAACTTGGCGGTCTGTCCATCAACAATCTGTCGTTCATATGCGTTCACAACACGTGGCGCACTCTTCAGCAGCTCTTTCCGGTTGATCCAGAAAAATTCATTCAACGGGTGATAGAGGAAGTGAACTTTATACTGTCTGTTCCTCCCTCTCCCTTCGTGAGAAACGATTCTGTCGATCTCATGGCCACCATCGATAGGGCGAGGTATCATAGGGTCTCGGAAGGGAAAAGTCTCATCATCAATGTGCGGAAACAGTTTGGAGGCATGGAAGACTGGGTACGTGCGCAGATGAGGCGGCACGTCAATCACATACGAAGGACCGAAATCATCCCCAATCACTTTCAGAACCTGCCAAGGGCCGTTGTATAGTGGAAGAAGCTTCCGTGAAATGCCCTCTTCATCAGAAAATCCAGACATTTTGACTCAGACATAATCCCCTACTTTGAATTTCTCTTCTCTGCGCATCTTATTAGCATGTTTGATCATGGCATGCTGACGCTTGTTCATGGCTGCGGTCACAGCTTTGAGCAAGCGTGCGTACTTGGCATTGTAGCCAGGCATGCCGGGCATCAGACCAGGTGACCGTTCTGGAAACAGGTAGGAGAGGGGATTGCGCATTGGCCATCCATACTGCAACTGGTTTGGTGTCACACCGGTTGCAGAATGGATGGAGTTGTTGTACATCCTTTTACTTTATGCAAGTCCTTATCCCATGTGTTCTAATCTGGCACAATTACTGCGCGCAGCAGCTGGGTGACGGTCTGGTTGATTTCCTCAGCCAATCCATTGGCTTCGGGGTGTCGGCCAGAAGTCATGTTCAGTTTGATGTCATAGATCTGGGCAGTGAAGTCCTTCCAATCCTTGCTGATGAATCTGGTGTCCCGATCACTCACAAGAGTTTTCGGGGGCCCATACTGCAGAATGTACTGCTGGTGAAACTCTTCGATCACCAGTTCGGTCGGTGCATGAGGAGGTAGAGGAATCAGATTCAGAAATTTAGAGAAGCGATCCACAATGACCATGACTTGTGAGTTCCCTGCCGTACTCACCTTCCCCATGTCCGTGAAATCGATAGAGACAGATTCCCTGGGGCCATCAGGGATTGGGAGAGGTCTCAGCAGGCCATAAGGCTTATGCCTGTGAACCTTGGTTCTCTGTCAGACTTGACACTCAGCAATAAATTTCTGAGTAGATCCCTTCATTCCCGGCCAATCAAACTGTTGGAGGAGACTTCCATAAGTCTTCTCAAAGCCGAAATGCCCACTCCGACCATGTGCCAAATCCAGGAAATGAGTTCGGAGAGGCGCATGGTTAGGAACACACAAGCGATCAAATTTCCCGTACCGGCGGAATACAAGACCACCGCATTCGTGAAAATCAGGCTGGCTGTTGGGGTCAGCCTTAAGTTGCTCAAGGATGGGACTAAGGTCCGGATCCTTGGCCGTGTGCTCGATCAGATCCTCCTTCAGTTTCCTGCGGAGGTCGTACGAATCCACCAGGCAAGTCAAATACTCAGGATGGCGCGATAAAAGAATCAGCAACACGATTATAGCAGCCTTTCTTATGCTTCAATTCAAAGTCGAAGACATCAATATCATGCAACCAGCGGGTCAGCGTTGGAGAAAGATCGGTTTGTGTCTTAATCCACTGCAAGGTCTGATGATCTGAGTAGACCTTGAAGTGGCGACCCAAGAGATAGTGCTTCCAATGCGTGAGCGCCTCGCGCAAGGCGTAGAGCTCCCGCATGTATGTGGAAGTGGCTACCTTGTSGYTGGGCATGCGTTTGCTRYAATATTCAAGCGGACGCAGGCCATCRCCATCATCTTGTTGCAGCAYTGCACCAATCCCAAACTSGCTCGCGTCCGTAGTRACTACGAACGTGAGGTTGGGATCCGCAATGCGGAGCACAGGATGACTCACCAAAGCCTCTTTCAAGGCTTGGAACGCAGTCTCACACTTTTCACACCACGCGWAGGCAACATTTTTACTAGTCAGGCGTGARAGTGGRTGAGCAATGACAGAGAATTTAGGCACAAACTTCCGGTAGTAAGAAGCCAAACCGAGAAAAGAACGCAGCTCGCGTACATTTGCCGGTTGAGGCCAGTTGCGGATGACCTCAACCTTGGTTGCCTCCGGCTCAAGGCCGCTCACAGACAATCGGTGCCCAAGATAGATGACGTTGTCCCTGCCAAACTCAGACTTCTCCAAGTTGAGGTGCAGTTGAGCATCTTTGAGGACTTGCAAGACCTCCTCAAGATGCTTGACGTGCTCCTCCATGGACTTGCTGAAAATCAGAATGTCATCAAGATACACAACCACAAACCTGTTAAGTTGGTGGCGGAGTACCTTGTCCATGAGGGACTGAAATGTGGCTGGTGCATTCGTAAGGCCGAAGGGCATAACGATACATTCGTACATCCCATCGCGTGTCTTGAACGCGGTTTTGTGCTGGTCACTCGGATCGACTTCAATCTGGTGGTAGCCAGACTTGAGGTCAATTTTGGAGAAGACCTTGCAACCACCGGCCGCATCCAACAGATCATCTATGCGAGGCAAAGGGTACGCATTCTTTCTACTGATCCGGTTCAAGCCACGATAGTCAATGCACATTCGGAGCTTGCCTCCTTTCTTCGGTACAAACAGGACAGGGGCACCAAACTCAGACTCACTAGGCCTAATCCATCCACGGTCAATCATGTCATCGATCTGTCTCCGCAGGTCCTCCAACCCGCCTTGTCCCATACGACAGACGCAGACCTTTGGAGGAACACTCCCTTCTATTATCTCGATTTTGTGCTTGGCTGGACGCTCGAGAACTCCGCGCGGTTCAGCCAACACTTCCGGGAATCGATCTAATAGGAGGCAAATGTTTGCTGGGATTTCGGGTGGAGGATCATCCTCATCAGGCGAGAGAAAATCAGATTGGGAATTTACCGCAATCACAACCGGTTTTGAGGCATTCGGATCAGAATTAGATTGATTATTTACAGCAGAAGTAGGTGGAACAGAAGTAAAAGTAGTAGAGTTACCTTCAGAAGAAGAAAATGCAGCAAAAGTAGAAGGCACATGGAAAGGCTTTACAAGAGCTATATGTACAAACTCAGCCTCCTTGCGCCTACGCACTGACCTGCAGAATTTGTTTGCACTTAGAAGAGTCACAAGGGACTCGCGCGTCTCATCTAGTAAGACGGTACGCTCGTTCCCCTCGGCATCGAGAACCACGAACTGATTGTCCGCCCATGTGGTCCTTAGGCAATGAGCCTTTAGCCAGCCCAAGCCAATGACCGCGTCGAACGGACACTTGTCCAAGACATAAAAATTTAGCTCATGTGTGACAGTGCGATCTTTGTCAAAGGTGATGCGCACACCTTTGACAGCATGAGTAGAGGTGACAACCTCTTGGTTGCCCACCTGAGTCCGACAAGGGTTCTGCAGTTCCACTTGCTTCATACCCAGGCCCGCCTTACGAATCCCGTTCGGAGAGAAGAAATTAGTGGCCGAACCACTGTCAATCAACACACGGATGTATCGGCGGTTAATGAGTAGTTTAAAGAAAATCAGCTCCACGCTCCCTTGAACACGGCGTTGCTGCTTGAGCTGTAGCCAATGCTTCATGTGGGCGTGGAGGTCGACCTCTTTAGACTCCTCCCAAGGCTCAGTGTACAATACTTGGACTACGTCAGCCTTTGGATTCAGCATTAGTTTGGGCTTCAAGAGCACGCTGCTGATCAGATCCAGGCTCCTCGGAACGGCCTGCAATTGACTGCCCAGCTTCCCTTGCTGTAGAGAGTGTTGATGACTCCTCTACGCCCCTTGCCTGTTTCCCTGAAGACGATAGCAATCCTGCACAACATGCCCAGGCTTTGAACAATGCAAGCATACGCGTAGTTTGGATCTTCTTTCCCATTCTTTTTGGCTGATGCGGAGGGCTTCCCAAGGTTTGGTGGAAGCGTCCTCCAGTTTCTCTGGGATCTTAGCATTCTTGGGAAGGTGTATGACTGTTCCCTTACCCGAACCACGGTTAGGCCCCTTATTTGAAGCAGTCTTCTTGAATGCATTAAGTTTTTCATCGTCGTTTCGATCACACTCAATGGCTGATGCAGAACAGCCCGCATCGGATTCCGACTCTAGATCGTCATCCAGAGACAGATCATCCGCATAGGACTGATCCTCAGCCTCCCGATGGTCATGCAGTGCAAGTTGGTTGCTGCTTCCCAACCGCTTGCGTTGTGGTTTCCCACCTGCAGCCGGCGCCTTTTTGCGCCTGGCGAGGTCCTTGGCCTCTAGGTTGACTAGATCCTTCATGAGATCTCGCCAGGTAGCATGGTCTTTGAGTGCTAGCAGGGATAGGTATTCTTTAGGGGCCACTCCCATGACTACATCCATGCAAGACACGTCAGTCATCCCTAGATCCGGAGTGGTGAATAGACCTGTCAAGTGTTGTTCTAAAGCTTGCATGGATGACCTCCATGTTTGGCCTTTGAGGGCCTCAAGCTTCAGCCTAGCCTTG